CAGATTACAACAGTAATTTTAGGGGACCCAAATCTTGAGAAATCTAACTACCTTTGTCTTTATTTCTTCCGACTGTTCACCACCAACATCCACCATCCAACTCCAAATCAATTTCAAACCATGGTAGCTGAGAAAATGTTTCAAACAGCTTGAATTGCTAGTTTCCTGAAAAACAGAATACACAATATATCAAAAATATTCTTCAAAACACATCTCATTCAAAGTAACCCTCAGCTCCTTGTTAAACACGCATGTACTAGGCTAACACTGCATTATTTTATCACAGCCAAACTTTTGCTTCTCCTTCCTATTAATAGGAGATTATCTCTAGCGAGTTTTTATTATTAGGGCCAAGCAAAACGAGTTCTTTCAGAGCTGAACAGAACAGCTCTCTCAGTTACCTAAGAATCAAAATATTCTCAATATCTGAGAATCTGTTTAGAATCTAGAGGACATTCCATTCCACTTCAAGGATTTTCTGTCATGACAGAATCTAAAATCTTTGAGAAAGAGGTAAGCTCGGAGAAGACTAGTAAAAATGTCATTATTATTATGTCATGGCCGACAAACATCACTTAATTTCGTGATGGAGGGATATACAATTCAAGAAGCTAAATTGTTCGAGTTATGAACACCAAGTTCCGCCCATATTTTAGAAACCATGCCCACTTTTGCGAAACCACAAAGCAAAACTGTATGTGGACATAGTTTCTATAGGAAAGGCGTGGGTCACTTTTGGAACTTGATGTTTTTGTAACTTAATGTCTGTAACTCGTACAATTCAGCATCTCATGCAATTTGCTTGGTTACAATTTTCACACAGAAATTACAAACGATATCAATTCATTTCAGCGCAGATGCATTCACATGTTCAGGGCCATGTCATGCCTAGTCCTATCAGAGCTTAACCTCAAGATTCATTAGAGCCAAACTGTTTTGAGTTGAACATGTTCACACAGCGGTTTTTGCTGGCTCGAGCCGTTGGGCTCCAATAAAATGTTGCCATGTAGACAAAGTAATAGGTTTTCACAGTTTAGTAGTGGTTCTATATCATGACTGACTTTCTGCTTCAAAATTTTCCAGACGCAAATTACAGATACAACGATATCAACTATGCACGTTTAAAGTCTATTCAAATAGCATAATACCTGTAATATTTTCAGTAGTTGTAATCGTTGTCTTGATGTTTCAGATCTCACCATTAAACGGGATAAATTTAATGTTTGGTCACTTGTCTTCAAGCCATCACCATCAAGGTCAAATGCCATCAGTTCTATTTCTTCATCAAGCTGTAACAAGATAATGTAATAAAGTTCATTCACGTGATATTCAAGTTAATGTTTTATCTTCATGAGTAGATCTACCAGTCTTGTCCAAAAACTGGGCTTGCAGGTACAAAATAAGTTTTTTAAGTATGAGACAAAATATACCATTTTTTTGGAGCAACTGTGGCTGTTGATTTTTAATGTGGAGAGTTTTCAGTTGTAGTTCTTGTGAAGGGAGGCATCAGAAACTTTTTGAGACGAAGAAAAACTATACAAAAGATTTTCCTCTTCACATATTTTTTGGTCAACTTTAAAATATATCCCTTTTGTAATGGTCAAAACCAGAATTGACACCCTAAATCCCACAGTTTGTAATAGTAAACCCACAATTGACACCCTAAATCCCACAGTTTGTAATGTTCAACCCACAATTGACACTCCAACTCCCATAGTCTGTAACGTTCAACCCACAAATGACACCCATTCAGTCTGTAATGGTCAACCCACAATTGACACCCCAAATCCCACAGTTTGTAATGGTCAACCCACAAGTGACACCCCAACTCCCATAGTCTGTAATGGTCAACCCATAAGTGACACCCCAACTCCCAGTTTGTAATGGTCAACCTAAAAGTGACACACCAAATTACGGTTTGTAATGGTCAACCCACTAGTGACACCTCAAATCCCACAGTTTGTAACGATCAACCCACTAGTGACACCCCAAATCCCACAGTTTGTAATGATCAACCCACTAATGACACCCCAAATCCCAGTTTGTAATGATCAACCCACTAGTGACACCCCAAATCCCACATTTTGTAATGATCAACCCACTAGTGACACCCCAAATCCCACAGTTTGTAACAGTCAACCCACTAGTGACACCCCAAATCCCACAGTTTGTAATGATCAACCCACTAGTGACACCCCATTTCCCACAGTTTGTAATGGTCAACCCACTAGTGACACCCAAATTCCACAGTTTGTAATGGTCAACCCACTAGTGACACCTCAAATCCCACAGTTTGTAACGATCAACCCACTAGTGACACCCCAAATCCCACAGTTTGTAATGATCAACCCACTAGTGACACCCCATTTCCCACAGTTTGTAATGGTCAACCCACTAGTGACACCCAAATTCCACAGTTTGTAATGGTCAACCCACTAGTGACACCCCAAATCCCATAGTTTGTAATAGTCAACCCACTAGTGACACCCCAAATCCCAGTTTGTAATGGTCAACCCACTAGTGACACCACAAGTCCCAGTTTGTAATGGTCAACCCACTAGTGACACTCAAATCCCACAGTTTGTAATAGTCAACCCACAAGTGACACCCAAATCCCACAGTTTGTAATAGTCAACCCACTAGTGACACCCAAATCCCACAGTTTGTAATGGTCAACCCACTAGTGACACCCCAAATTCCACAGTTTGTAATAGTCAACCCACTAGTGACACCCAAATCCCACAGTTTGTAATGGTCAACCCACTAGTGACACCCCAAATCCCACAGTTTGTAATAGTCAACCCACTAGTGACACCCCAAATCCCACAGTTTGTAATGGTCAACCCACTAGTGACACCCAAATTCCACAGTTTGTAATGGTCAACCCACTAGTGACACCCAAATTCCACAGTTTGTAATGGTCAACCCACTAGTGACACCCAAATTCCACAGTTTGTAATGGTCAACCCACTAGTGACACCCCAAATCCCAGTTTGTAATAGTCAACCCACTAGTGACATCCCAAATCCCACAGTTTGTAATGGTCAACCCACTAGTGACACCCAAATCCCAGTTTGTAATGGTCAACCCACTAGTGACACCCAAATCCCAGTTTGTAATGGTCAACCCACTAGTGACATCCCAAATCCCACAGTTTGTAATGGTCAACCCACTAGTGACACCCAAATCCCACAGTTTGTAATGGTCAACCCACTAGTGACACCCAAATCCCAGTTTGTAATGGTCAACCCACTAGTGACACCCAAATCCCACAGTTTGTAATGGTCAACCCACTAATGACACCCCAAATCCCAGTTTGTAATGGTCAACCCACTAGTGACACTCAAATCCCACAGTTTGTAATAGTCAACCCACAAGTGACACCCAAATCCCAGTTTGTAATAGTCAACCCACTAGTGACACCCCAAATCACACAGTTTGTAATGGTCAACCCACTAGTGACACCCAAATCCCACAGTTTGTAATGATCAACCCACTAGTGACACCCAAATCACACAGTTTGTAATGGTCAACCCACTAGTGACACCTCAAATCCCACAGTTTGTAATAGTCAACCCACAAGTGACACCCAAATCCCACAGTTTGTAATAGTCAACCCACTAGTGACACCCCAAATCACACAGTTTGTAATGGTCAACCCACTAGTGACACCCAAATCACACAGTTTGTAATGGTCAACCCACTAGTGACACCCCAAATCCCACAGTTTGTAATGGTCAACCCACTAGTGACACCCAAATCCCACAGTTTGTAATGGTCAACCCACTAGTGACACCCCAAATCCAACAGTTTGTAATGGTCAACCCACTAGTGACACCCAAATCCCACAGTTTGTAATGGTCAACCCACTAGTGACACCCAAATCACACAGTTTGTAATGGTCAACCCACTAGTGACACCCAAATCACACAGTTTGTAATGGTCAACCCACTAGTGACACCCCAAATCCCACAGTTTGTAATGGTCAACCCACTAGTGACACCCAAATCCCACAGTTTGTAATGGTCAACCCACTAGTGACACCCCAAATTCCACAGTTTGTAATGGTCAGCCCACAAGTGACATCCTTTGGAGATAAAAATCCCTGGAGCACTATTCAAAACTCTTATAAGGTCGAACTTACAGATCGGTCCTCAAAATCTTCTTTCTTCTGTTTCTTTTCTAATTTTCTCTTTTTACCCTGAGATGACCGTAATGGGGTAGTTTTATTTCCACCAAGAAAACCACGACAGTTTGACGCACCACAGTAACACTTTTGGGCTTCTTTACTGGAATAATAAACAAACCCATAAATTAGTAATACAATATACATTTAAATTTATTTTATAAAAACCTGCCTAATTTCACCTAATTTGTTTAATAATGCCATGAAATTATTGAATTAAAATGAAAAAAAAAAAGATATTGAGAATATAGTCCTTGTCATGAAATACTGCATAGAGAAGGTACATATTAGATTGGGCCGCACAGACATTATTAACAAGTACCGGTAATATCAACAATAATTTGTGTCTGTCAGCTACAGTCAAATACTTTATTTGAGCTGGAATTAATTTTCAGGCTAGATTAAAGCAAACTGTAAGGAATAAAGTATAGGCACACAAAAAAAGTTTGCGATGACAACAATTACTTTACATATTTTACAAATAGACATGTTCTTACCCGTATCTTTCAAACTGGTAGTCAAATGTCAGTTCTTCACCAGCAGGTATTGCTCTTTTTGTGAAGAAGCCAACACGAATATGCCCATTAACAGTCCACTGAGAAATCAAACAATAACATCATGTGAAGCATAATGGCAGTCATGTCAGATTAAAGATGCCAGAAAGCATGTACAAGTTTCCGTGCCACAAACATACACAAAGAACATAGTGTAATAGCTTAACTGTTATGCAAATTAGCTAATAAAAATGCACAGAATGATTCCAAATAATCAGTCATGTTACTATGTTACAAACTGTGTGTATGTTTGGGGTTTAATTCATCGAAGATAGCAGCAAGGATCAATAATTGACCTTTGATTCATACATTCTTAAAAGTTACTGTAAAACCATTTATTTTCACAATGATGTTTTGAGCATATTCACTGTTTAATTTCACGAATTTGCCGAGGGAACAATGAGTTTTATTGTTATTTTCCCATAGATTTAATTTAGCGTATTTTACTTATCTATGCATTTACAGTACTAAGCATACTAATATAACAACCTATACATTTTCTAAAAGCTTAAATATAAGCAAATATGATAGTGTATAAGACACACCAATGTTTGTCTAAAGAACTATCCGATGACCAATTTCACTATTGTGCTTTCTTCACTTTTGAAAACAACACTCTGTCATGCAAATTTAATGTGAATTGCACAGGATGTTAGTAATGCTGTAATGATCATGTCTCGTTTCCTTTATTTGCCTGTTTCTTTTAGCTACAACCAAAGAATTACAAAGACTCCAACGACAACGGACAGAAAACTTCATCGCGAATCACTGTGTAGATATCACAGTTAAAACTTTAACATTCAGATTTAAAGCGGGGAAGTCGTCCCCTGCGCATGCGTCAGATGGCCATAGCGTGTCATTGTTTACAAACAAGCATCTACCCATGAACCTTTGCGTTTAAGCGTGTGCTGTTATTGTCGATTGGAACTCAATTCTCGCATGTGCGCAGGTGACGACCCTCCCGCTTTAAAGATTAATAACCAAACTAGACATAAATCTCAAGCTCTTGGTGGACAATTATTTTACCAGAATGAGTGTGGAGCAGTAAAACTGATGGAGCTTTAATAATACTACAAATCCAGTATTTCTCACCTTCTGTGTTTCGCAGTTAGGATCACAACTGTGATTAATAAATCTTGATACGTTTCCTTTCTTTGTTGCGTCAATTATCTATAAAAAAAACAACGTCAATCCTCTGTAATGCACTGTACATGAATAGAGCTCCTAATATGATTTTCAAGCAAACACTGGTAACCACTAAAACTCCTGCCAGCAAATAGTAATATACTGTAAAGGGGTTAATTCTTCACTGGGTTTTAAATTCGCTTATTTGGCTGACTGGAAAATGCGCTAAATTAAAACCCAGTGAATATGTAAAATTTGGCATAGAACACATTATCTAAATGATAAAACCATGAATTTAAAATCCACTGAATAAGCCTGAAATGGTAAATCAGTGAAATTTAAACCCAGTGAAAATTAGACATTTTACAGTAATGTTCATAGTTAACTGTGGAATACTTTATTTTAGCTGGAATTAATTTTCGCTGAAAAGGCTTTTGGGGCGTTTTGTATGGAATTTATTTTTACTGATTTTTGATGAGTTTAATGTGAAATATAGGAAAAAAAGTATATTCGCTGGATTTTATTTTCATGGAATCATCCCTGCAGCGAAAATAAATTCCAAGTGAAAATAAAGTATTCTACAGTAATAGATGTCTCACCTCATCACTTGTTAATGCCATGAAATAATAATGTTTTCTGTTGTCTTTATTGTAATGTTTGGTCCTTGATTTGAATTCGGAATAATTCAACACCTCACCAACGTACTCTAATACAAATTTACCCCTAAAAATGAATAAAGCATTGTTCAGTTTTTCTGGTTGACAAATAAACTGCAGTGTATGAAAAAATTAACATAGCAAAACTATTTCAGCCTTGCCCACTCCACTGTGAATCTAAACATTAACCTTTTCACCATCGGTTCCTGGTAAACTTGGAACACTGGAGGGCGCCACCAATTCCTGGATACCAGTCTAAAAAGGTCAAAGTTGTGATCTTTTCAAATAATGCCGTGAAACAAGTGTTTTTTATCGTACGATGGTTTGTTACATACACAAATGCTTTGTTTTCGTTGGCTGCCATATTGGACATTCAGATTATTTTTTTAACCAAGCAGAAAATGATGTGAAATTTTTAACTTCCATGTCGTTAGATTTTAAAAATTGCAGATCAAGCAACATTCGAAAACGGCCTAAATCCCACTCTCATGAATTTAGTTGCTTTCTCATTTTTGACATTCAATAATAATTTAGTGTATATCACACACTTTGAATCATGTTTTACATTTGTATACAATATATTTCACATTTAAAACAAACTTGATTTGTTTAAATATTTTTTTTTTACCAATTCTGTTTTTTTTTTAAACCTAAATGTTGAAAGAGTAGTTGAATGATTATTAGCATAAACATCCTCTAGAATACGAGATCAGCTTTCAAATGAGTTATGACATGAGATGATTGGACTGTGTTTGTCTTAGTAATGCCCAGTCAAAGACACAGCTCTCAAACCATTTTCTGTCAGAAAGCTTGGGCACAACAGAAACAATCTATAAGGAAACTGGTAGTGAAAAAGGTAAAGGTATTAGAGATGGATACAACCTTGACTGGTTGGTTTATATGTGATTATCTGACAGACAAATGTTACTTACTCTGGGATTTCAGCACAGGTTCTTAAACCAAAACCTTTCCAGGGAGTTTTAAAAATTTCAACTTTAGCATTCTCTCTCTATAAACAAACAAACAAACAAAAATGACAATAAGCACATAGAAATGAAAAGTAGTTCATCATTACTGACACTGGTCACTCTGGTCACTCAAATTATCAGACAACCTACATTGATATTAGAAGTTTTCATCATAATGTAAATCAGAACAACGAGTGACAATTATCCTGACTTTGCACCAACATTTAGAGTTTCATGACTTTAATACTGATACGGCCGAGTTTGAATCGAAAGTTGGATGACGGACAGACACGAAACTTTCCGTTGACCCGACCCAAACAAGGGAATCGCAACAAGAAACGACACAAAATTAAATATTGAATTCATATAAATATATAAAGTGTGCTCACGAGGTATCACTGAATTGTACAGTATGAAAAGTTACATACAATAAAGAACTATAATTTCAATATTGGTCAAATACAACATACGTAATATCACTGACAGTCCCGCCGTATTCAATTCGTTCCAAACTAAGGTCAAGCGTTCTGACCATTCAATGAATATATTATTCTAACACCAGACGGTGGTAATTAAACAGTGGCTATCAGAAACACCACAAAATGCAATTCAAACCACTATATAAAGCAACAATGATAACCTACCCTTTGAAAACTTCTATTAGTACAGTAATCTCCACATGGACACCTTGATGTGCTGAAAACAACATAGAATTATTTTAGTGATTGCAAAACACACGACTAAAACTGAAGACGATTTGTTTTTTGACAAGTATAGGTTGTACATAAAATAAACGCAATGATATAATTAATGACAGCAACGCTTTCTACAAATGAAGACATTGTTTAGGCATTCTTATTAAACCTGTTTTCTCAAATAATCATTAACATATTAGCATTATAGCAATTTAATGCGCTACCCTAAACATTAACCAGGCTCTGACAAATACAAGCACCTGCTGACGACAGTCGTCGTGTCGCGTCCTGTTCGATATGGGACTCATAGCGACGTATACAATGCGTGTATAATACATTGTTTATTTACATGAAATTCGAACACGCGACGACCACCGTGCTTTAAGTGTAGCTTTCCCATTGAGTCTATAGAACACTAACCCAGAGTAGTGCTCGACAAATTTTAGTGTTCAATCCTGTTGTAAAATTTTAACTTGGACCTACCCTCATTAGTCAACACAACAACCACTATGCTACCAGTTAGTGAACATTATTTAAAACAACAAGCAAAAAAATATCGGTTTCATAATCATGGTGAAAAGTTCTGAAATCCATGTAAGTTTCTTTTCCATCAATATGTTATTATATTTGTATAGTCAAATGCAGATCAGTAGTGAAAAGTGACAATACTCAATTACTGTAGAATACTTTATTTTCGCTTGGAATTTATTTTTGCTATTTTCACTGAAGGGTGATTCTGTGAAAATAATATCCAGTGAATATACTTTTTTTCCTATATTTCACATTAAACTCATCAAAAATCAGTGAAAATAAATTCCACACAAAATGCCCAAAAAGCCTTTCCAGCGAAAATTAATTCCAGCGAAAATAAAGTATTCCACAGTAATTTAAAATTTCCTTTAAACTTTTTAATGCATATCTTTAATGGTCTAAGCGTATTGTCTAAAATGTTTTTAACGAGGTATAGTCAAAACAATTAGCGGTACTAAACTGATGTAGTTACTGGTACACTCAAATTAAAAAGAAGGAAAATATTTCAGATTCACCACCAGAGAGGGCTACAATTTACTCACCATTCAATCATAAGTAATCTGTTAAGGCAGTCATCTCCACAAGCAAGGATACCCATATCTCTGTCTTCTGCACATGTGCTACAATCACATTGCATTCTTTTGATCTCCTTTCTGGCTTTTGACTTTTTTCTAAAATAAAAGATGAATGTCAATCATTTATAAGGCATTTCTCACGTGTAGTGTAAGTAACAATGGTATATCAGATATATTCCTATTGTAGTGTAAGTAACAATGGTATATCAGATATATTCCTATTGTAGTGTAAGTAACAATGGTATATCAGATATATTCCTATTGTAGTGTAAGTAACAATGGTATATCAGATATATTCCTATTGTAGTGTCAAAAACAATGGTATATCAGATATATTCCTATTGTAGTGTCAAAAACAAAGTATATTACTATAATGTATATTACAATGGTATATCAACCTCAAGCAGTTAGGGATGTTGAGAGTGAGAATGAGCCTACCTTTCAGTAAGATACACATTTTCTGCAATGTCTTCATATAATGGTGTATCATAAGTATCCTCCTCCTCCTCTGACAGGACAGGCTCTTCTACATGTGATGGAATCTGTGCATTCTGATCAACGAACACAATTGCCAAGGGTTCATCTTCTTCCGTTGTAAAAATCTCTTCTGTCTTCAGAACAGTTGTCTCCATTGCAACAACTTCAGTAGTTTCTTCCATTCCAGCATCCTCTTTGTGTTCCTCTTCTTTGTCATGCTCCTGACAATGTTTCGTTGACACAGCATTTTCTACACCTTCTTTCGGAATCTCGTGCTCCTCTTTCACCTTTACTTCCTTATCTCTATTCTCTCTAATTATTTCCTTGTCGCGCTCTTTTTTTTCCTCCAATGATTTAATTCTTCTGCTTCTCCTGCGTGTCCTCGCTCCTTCATCCTCATCCTTAGTATCATCCTGTGAGTTCTCACTCTCAGATTTTAATTTTGTACTATTTTTAGTTTTGCATTTCTTTTTGGCACTCCTTGTTACATCTCCTTTCATATTCTCAGTTGAATCAACATGGTTGTCACTGTGTTCTGTGTCAGCAGTTGTTATTTCCATGTTCTCCACACCACTATTCTGTACATGAAGTGCCTCACTGTCTTGTGATGTATCATCATCCAGAACATTAGAACTGACATCTGTAGACATCTCCTTATTCAAAGGAAGAGATGATTGATCAGTTATTTCATTTTCTGGCATAGAAGGAGTTGTTGAAATATCAGAGTTTTGATTTAAAAACGTATCATCAACCACTGGAACAGATACCTGACATTCATTCGGCTTTGTCCCTGAAATCTCACCAGCACAACTGTGAGAATCTGCAACAGATTTTTTCCTTTTGAAACTCTCCAAAAATGTATAGTAATCAATAACTTCATTTGCGTTCGATGGTGAATCATGAGCAGGTTCATTTGTTGAACATATTGGTGGCTCATTGACTATTGAAGGTTCATTTCCTGAACATGTTGGTGGCTCATTGACTATTGAAGGTTCATTTCCTGAACATGTTGGTGGCTCATTTACTACTGAGGGTTCATTTGTTGAACATGTTGGTGGCTCATTGACTATTGAGGGTTCATTTTCTGAACATGTTGGTGTCTCATTGACTATTGAGGGTTCATTTTCTGAACATGTTGGTGGCTCATTGACTATTGAGGGTTCATTTTCTGAACATGTTGGTGGCTCATTGACTATTGAGGGTTCATTTTCTGAACATGTTGGTGGCTCATTGACTATTGAGGGTTCATTTTCTGAACATGTTGGTGGCTCATTGACTATTGAGGGTTCATTTTCTGAACATGTTGGTGGCTCATTGACTATTGAGGGTTCATTTTCTGAACATGTTGGTGGCTCATTGACTATTGAGGGTTCATTTTCTGAACATGTTGGTGGCTCATTGACTATTGAGGGTTCATTTTCTGAACATGTTGGTGGCTCATTGACTATTGAGGGTTCATTTTCTGAACATGTTGGTGGCTCATTGACTATTGAGGGTTCATTTTCTGAACATGTTGGTGGCTCATTGACTATTGAGGGTTCATTTTCTGAACATGTTGGTGGCTCATTGACTATTGAGGGTTCATTTTCTGAACATGTTGGTGGCTCATTGACTATTGAGGGTTCATTTGTTGAACATGTTGATGGTTCACTGACCATGGTTGGTTCATTTGATGAATGTGTGGCTGGCTCATTGGTTATCGTAGGTTCTTTTGTTAAACACAATGACTCACTGACTACGGCTGGTTTATTTGTTGAACATGGGGGTAACTCACTGACTATTGTTGATTCATTTTTAGAATATGTTGGTGGCTCATTGACCACAGTTAATTCATTTGCAGAATGCAGTGGTTCATTGGCCAATATTGATTCATTGTTAGAAAACATTGGAGCCTCATTTTTAACAGTTTGTTCATCTAATGAACACATTAGTGACTCATTGGCCATAGTAGATTCATTTGCCGAACACGATGGTTCATTGACAATTGATTCATTTATAGAAAACATAGGAGTGTCATTTGCAACTGTTTGTTCAGTCACTGAACGTGTTAATAGTTCATTGTCCACAATTGGTTCATTTGTAGAACATGGTGGCTCATTTACCACTTTTGATTCATTGGTAGAAAACGTTGGCATCTCATTGACCACAATTGGTTCATTGGTAGAAAACATTGACGTCTTATTGACCACTGTTGGTTCGCTAGTAGAAATTGTCGGTGACTCGTTGACCATTGTTGATTTATTCACTGTACACGCTGATGCATCATCACTAACAACTAGTTGTTCCTTCAAGGAACAAGGCAAAATATGTTCATTTGTAGAACATGTTGGTGGCTCATTAACAATTGTTTTGGGTTCATTGACAGGAACAGTTTCCTCATCTTGCGCCTCCAGCATCTCCTGTCTTGAGTTGGATCGCGTTCTCCTACGTACCTGTATATCACATCCAGTTTTTTTCTTTTTCTTAACTTTGAATACGTACTCAACTTTGACAGTTTTCTTGGTTGGAGATTCTGTTTGTGGCAGCAGACTTTTAGTGGTGGTGTCTGGGGACTGTTGCAATGATTTACTTCTAGAAAGTCTTTCAAGTATAGGAACACTATTGTCTTTGAATTGTCTTGAATGTTTGCGTAATCCATATCGAGTTTCCTTTACTTTATCATCAGATTGCTCCATAAGTTCTTCACTACCAGCGTTGGTTTTCTCACTTTTTTTGCTTTCCTTAGTCTCGTCTTGTTTATTGTCGTCACTAATTTCCATTTTTTCACCACATTCTTCGTCAGTCAACTTCTTTTTAACATCTGATTCACCTTTCAAAGAATCACTTTTATCAGATTCAACATAATCATTTTTCATCTTTAAAACATCACTCTGTCCCTCTTTACTGGTTGCCATGACAGTACTATTATCATCATTACAAATATCAACTGATGACACATCCAAACCTGATTTTTCGAGAGGCACATTTTCACCTGAATTATTCATTGGATTCACATCCATCACATGTTCAATTTCCTGAGTAACTTCGTCAGTTTTCTTATCTACCTGTACTTCTGATTTTTTATTTGATGCATCAATTTCTTCATCTGTCTTACTGATATTTAGTTCTACTGTACTCTTCTCACATTCTTCTTTGTTCCCAGTGATCCCTGAAATGTCCTCTTCAGTAGTTTTTGCATCAATGGAATCTTCCCCTGGTTTATTCTTGGATGAGTCTCCTATATCATCCTGTGAATGCAACAAAAACGTAGATCAATTCCATTTCTCTACTGGAAGGGTATCTCCCACAGAGTGGGAATAAACCAAAAAATAGCATTTGTTATTTGCTTGACTGTAGACACACCTCATTCACATGAGCACACACCCTACAAATAAGACAAATATGATACATGTATTTCTCACAGACAAAGAGACAGTTAAAAATCATGCTTTAGTTATAACTGTTTAACTAACATACTCTACTGCCTGAGCATCCACCCTCCACTTTTGGAAATTTATATTTTTGGGTTCACGTTCGGGTAGGCGCCTATCCTCTTCAAAATGCTCCTAATTTGACTGTACAAGCATTTTCGAATACATTTGTACAAGTTATAGTATTTAAAGTACGGTAGTCGTCGTGCTGCGCATGTGCCAGATATATGGGTCTCATATAAACAAAGATGGCAACTTTGACTTGCCAGATCGACGAGTACGAAATGAGACGTTTCCAAGCTTTAATTAAGCAATTTTCATGTTATTGGAAGGTATCAAAGAAGTCACCGGCAGTAATCAGTACAAGTCGTGCCCAGGTCAAACTTCATTTGAAGAACGCATTGGATTGTGGGAAAATCAATGTTTATCAACACAAATGTCGCACGGCGACTACCGCGCTTTAAGTAACAGCGAGGATATCAACCGCCGTGAATATTTTGTGAATGCATAGACGCTTTGACAATGACCTGTTAACAAAAGTGAAAGACCTGCAGTTTACCTTTCAAAAATTGCTTAAAAAAATCATTTTTTTCGGCAAAATCAATTCCAACAGAATGTAATTCAATATCGATAATTCACTTCCGCATTGCGTTACCAAAATGCCATGATAATGATGAAGATTTCGACTTTGACAGTGTTCCAACAAACCCTAATAATTGTAACCAAGCTAATAATTAACTATATAAAGTATGCATCACTAAATGTGGTGAATATAGTGTTGTAATTATAATTGCATGCCTGTTTACATCATTTAATAACTTTGTTTTCAACATGAATATGTTTTTGTTAATTTCGTTTGCTTATACATTTCCTGAAATGTGATTTTATCTGCAGTGTATGTGCGTAGTTAGATGGTATATTCAAAATTGTAGGGCTTGAAATGTACCTCATGCACTTACACGAAAAAGCTTGGTATCTAATTAGCTTGGATGAATTCAGCAATATTTCTAGTAAAGTCATCTCAAGTCAAGTTAACTGCCACCTCTATAGAACTTCCACACTATATATTTTAGGGAAAAACAAGAATTTGTTTTGGCAGAATTGCATACTTTGTACATTAGACTGTCTGTGTGTGTGAAATTCTTGCTAAACCCGTCAATGCCAATTTATACCATATTAATTAAATCACACTTTTGAAAAAAACAATTATTACTACCATGTTTTTTTCTGGTATTTATTCTTTTTTTGCAGCATCAAAAGATTGCCACAGTACTGAAACGTTGGTTTTACCGGTTGTGGTTGCCAGGCAGTGAAAATGCATAGAAGCTTGCTCCCAAGAATACCCACCTCAGAATCTTCTCTGCAAAGGATAATAATAACCATACCACCAAAGGCCACAAATCAAGCATGAAGAGAGAAAAGAAAAAAGATTTACAATCAGTGTTTTTGAATTTAATTTGTCTATTGTATAAGGCTATTTACAATACTACCATACTTTCCCACTGATGATGTTCTTAGCAAAAACACTGTTTAAATTTTGTCTTCATGAAAGGCATAAATCCCTAATAATTTCAGTTACAGTAATATCCAATTCACAAATATTTTTATGGATTGAAATTTGATATATTGAACTTAAGGAAGCGAGAGTATTATTTGTTTTGAAAATTACGATTTTCACATTTAATTGTTAATTGAGAAAATGCACTATAAACTTTCAAATGATAAAGTCAACATAACATAGAATGTCATGTAAGTTGGTTAAATTGTAGATCTTTAGAAGCCTCAGTGGAAATCAACAACACAGGTTTAATAATTCTGAGATTAACTCAAGACAATGCAATGTTAATTCACCAGCACTCCTAATGTCGATATTTGCATCTTTTTGTTCAAGTGAGTGCAAACGATTAACAGGGAATGGGGTTTTTCCATATTAAGACTGAGTTCAGTCAAAAATACTAGTGTCTTTTGTTCAGTTCACTCATTCCACTGTGTCTAGTATTGAAGAAGTACCATAAATCCTACTCCCAGCATTGATTAGCAGAAAGCGTGGCAGACCAAAGATGCACCCAGACGCTGCTAAAAAGTTGAAGGATTTCAACCGAGGTTTGTATTACAACAAGCCTGAAGAAAAGTTTGTAGCAACAGACAGCGACGACTGCCGTATCAACAATATTTCCATGATAGAAAAGAAAATAATGGCATTTTGGTCTGATGATGATGATGATGACAAAGATGAAAGTGTCGGTGATGACAGTGAAGTGGCAGATATACCGATCATTCCATTCAACCTCATGATGTTGGGGCAAGTGTCTATTTCAAAAATCTGCAAAACAGGAACTTAGGTCATACAAGAAAATTCAGATCGTCATCATGGCTGGGGGATGCATATGTACTGGTACTTTGAGTTTACCAACTCCAAGTGTTCAACGTCTTCCGAAATATTCCCAAGTTCCAAAAAGTCCGGCAAGTTTTTTAAATTAATAGAAAAGCATTTATACTGATCTTCCCTACCCTGTTAGTCATTTCTGATATACTTTTGTTATTTTCAGATATTAGGATTTTTACTGACACAGAAAAGGTATGGTTCCTCCCATAGACTTGCATAACACAAATGGAATGCCAAATAGCATTGCAAATAAAAGTTGATAAAAGTACAGTATTTCCATATATCACGCAACCAAACCTATCACCAGTGGAAAGCCGTGTCAAAATTTGTCTGTTTGAAGTTAATTTTCCTGGGATTTAGCTTGCTAACCCATACGTAACTCTAGGACAGTTATTTTCTTGAGGTCAAATGAGAACAAAATTTCTTGGCTCAACATTGTCACTGTTTTAGAACTTTCCTTGGAAAGTGGAACAGATAAAACGCCAGGAAATGGTCGTCTGCTACCATTACCAGGGGTACGATATTTTTGAAATAGACCTCATGGTATTTACTGCTGTTGTCTATTTTCCCTGCATCCTATGTGCATGAAAATACATTTGTACAGTATAACAATTATCACCTGGGTTGAAAGAAGAGAATGGCTTTACTTCATGACAAAGCGGTGACTTAAATTGTTTTTTTTTCAGTAGATATACATTTTTTTTGTATATAGACAATATATTATTCTATATCGTAAATTATTTTGTGAATGTTTTTCATACTTATTCGTTTGATTTTATGTTTGGAGAATTTGCTATCAGGTATACCTTTAGATTAAGTTCGTTATCTGATTTCTTTTACCATGGTACTATTATTGTGATTCAGAAAAATTATGTTATTCGCTTTTATGTTGCTTTCTTCAACAAGTATTCAATATTTTGCTTTTATTACACTATTGATATTTACTTTTAATGTATCTGCAGGCCTGGAGTGTGGAATAGGGGGGGGGTGTATTGATGTGAAAGACACACAGTTCATACATGTACCATTTCCTGGTTTATGTGACTGTTGTAGATGCCAGATATGTCCTTGTCATGACATTAATGTAAACAAGTTCCTAGTTTGCAACATTCTTTGTCTAATTAAAATCAGTTCTCTGGTAGCATCTGAACAGTGTACGTGTCTGTGTTATTCTCTCACTACACTCAGTGAAGGGAACTTATGGTATACAAATGGAAATTATATTTTTGTTATTTAATGTATCGCTGTGCTCTATGGTTGTGTTACACTATAGTATAGGCTAAAGTTAATCACATAAGTGCATATTGGCTAGACCAAGTTGTGTTCTGGCATGGCATGGGAAAAAAAGTTAGCACTGATAAATAAGGGATTATCAAACTTGTTAAAGGGGAATCGTTCAATCCCATGGATTGCACCAAAGAATCATGGGACACTATTGTTTATATTGTTTACAATGTTAATCTATATTTTGTTATCCATTGTTATTTTAATCCAGAAAGTAAATTTGTTGTGAGAGTAGGCTTAAACTGGAAGGTGCCCCTTTAAGAATATACAAATCATCAGTCTATAACAAAGCACCTGAAAGACGTGGATTGAATCGATAACAATCGGTAGGCTTTGGTTAGTTGTGTACTGCTGATGAATCCACTGCTTACTGTCCATTTCTCGCTATCCGTGCATATTCGTAAGCATAAATCCTCTCAATAGATTCTATATAGTGAGTTTTAACAGCCTACGAAGGCTGAATGCCACTTTAATTTTGATTTCTCAGTACAGTAAGTGCAGATTGCAAAATAACAAAGTCTCGAGGGTATAGACCGGGTCTTGAATATGGGTCACATTTAGCCCATACTAAAAGTTGGTGTATGTTTTCTTATCACAGGCTAACATTTTTGACCTCTTAGCCTGTGTTAAGAAGTGTGTACAATTCCAGCCAAGCTAATATAAGTAGTGTACATCAGAGATACTTAGCATAGGCTAAGAGGTCAAATACCTGAACCCGTGCTAAGAAAATGTGTGTGAACGCAGAGCACTGGCTAAGAAAGGCTAAAAGTCAGTAAGTGAAAATTAAATCTGGCCTTCTTTTAAGACCCAGTCGAGATTTTTAGCACAGGCTAACAAAGTATGCATGAACGCTTAGGTCGGGCTAAGAACCCGAAATGCCATTGTGTTTGATGTTTATTTGGACTATTTACTATGACTGGTACCGTATATTCATAACCATTCATTTTAGTATGCCATTTCCGACAAGACAATCAACGCGAGCACATCAAGAGATATTGTTCTTGAGAAAAAATGAATCGATGATGCAACTTTGTGCTACTTCCTGTTATTCTGAATTTTTTTGGTATTGTTTTATAATCGTACATCCTCCTAGTTACTGTATCCAAGTAATCATAGCTAAAATGACTGAAGATTTTTATATACTTTCAACAAGTTTGGGTGATCCTTGGCCTGTGCTAACCACTGTTTTCTCCTGTGTGTGAACACAATTGGGTCGATATGCAAACATGAGATTAGCTTGAATCTTAGCCAGTACTTTATGTAGTGTTAACACTACTACAATAGCATATGTGTGTATCGTTATTCCTGTCCTGTTCAGTATATCATGAGATTATCTAATCTTCCCATGTTATAGACACATGTTTACCTCACATGCATTCTGTAATGACCAATTAGTTCATTTTGTAAACTGAACTACAATTCTAAGGCAGTTTTTAATCAGAAAAATAGAGATAAATTGATGGCCTGAGCTCCAACAGTTCTGATGTCACAGAAGAAATATAACAAGGCGTCAGACGACAATTGCTGATTCTTAATTGGATTGTGCCTACTGTTCAGAAAATGTTAGTAATGAATGAATTAAATGGAATTTATTATGGATACTACTATATTTTCTCATAAATTGTGGAACTGCAAATAAGTCAAATTTTATATTATTATTATATTATTATATTAAATTTTACTTTAATTTAATTTTTGCAATAGACAAATTTTCACAAACTTACAAACTTATTTTATTGACCTTATATTATGAATATTTCTAACAGTGAAAACACTATACATTCTGGCCAGTTACATGTAAATGTAGTTTATGTCAAGTAATGTAAAATCTGTATTAGAAGAAACATCCAGAAAAGAAGTCGCACCTATTATTTTTGAATAATTGAGAACCAAAAATTAAATTAAGCCGCATCCCCTCTGTTGCATTGTACCAGTTTAAGCAGCGGCTTCTAATACAGATTTTACAGTGCTCTCATATACAAGTCAAAATTGACAGAAGCAGTAGAAATCCATATGGGAAAAGTTAGAACTGAAATGATGTTATCTCATGTATGTCCAGATAACATAATCGATAATTATATCTAGGTCTGAGGTTACCGTTTATTTATGCAAAAAATTAATACAATCTGAGAATGTGAGTGAAGCTGTGTGTACACATAAAAAAACTGGCATGCACGTATGTCATCAAAGACAAAATGTGGTTCATAGATTAAGGGCCATTAAGGGCCATTAAGGGCATATCAATTTGCTGACGATGGACATATTCAGCTCGGTAGGACAATTTATTTTTGTAGAAATTTATTTGTGCATATGAGTAAAAAGTCTGATAGCAGTGTCAACATTTCTATTGTTCTCTTGGTGCATAGATTTTACTGTTTTTGCACTGTGGACGAAACTAAAGAAATTAAGTCAACAATTTTTCAATGATCCATAATGCAACGCTATGATCATTATTATGTTACCAGCTGACAGCATAGCACTGTAATTGGCATTCAGCACTGCTGTTGTGATCATCACTATCTGACTTGATAGTGCCAAAATACACAAATGTAGAATCCTCTGTTAATTAAAAATTGTAAATATTAAACAAAACGTTGTTTTTAAACATCATGGAACAAGCACGCTCTCTGTGCTGCCATTTTGGTTACCTCGATCAAAATCCCCTCTACCAACCAGCATCAGTAGTGATG